AGACCTTGTCTCATCAATTGGCCCTGCCCTTTCTGTTCTGAAAATTGCAACTCTTCCTGAGAAATCTGATTTTAAAATGGGCAAATGGCAGGCTAATTTCACAGCTCATTAGGAACCTCAGTAGGGGCAAAGCTGGGTTTGGGAAAGATCACAGATTTAAAAAAAAAAAAAAAAAAGCAGTAGTGGTTTTAGGGACCCATCTTCCACTCACTACTGACATGCCTCCTGAAAGAGGCTTCCTCTGGTGTCATGACAGGGCCTTGCTTTTGCTGGGGGTGGGAGGTAAGTTCTATCTGGTTGGGTGATAGACTAAACAGCAGGGAAGGAAGAGCCCAGCTAGCACTGGGAATTTCAAACCTCATCAATCAGAAGGGCTTGAAAGGTATTTCTTATTTAACATCCACCACGCCATGGACAATCAAGGACAGTGGAGGATGGTTTCTGAGAAAACTCATTGGCTTCTCCCTCAATGGGAACTCGCCCTGCACCCTAAAGTAAGGAAGACAGGACACATAAAATCGCTGCCAATAATACAAGGCAGGTGACTTCATTGGAGTGGGATCATTAGACGCAGGCTAGAATTGGAAACAATCTCCTGCATTCTGATACTGAAACTATAGGGGCCTCTGCAGTAAAAAGCCACTGGACCATTCTCACGATCATCTTCAGTGGCAGCCTGAGCAAGGAGGAGCCACGGACCCTGCTAAAGAGGACTGAGGATTCAAATAAACACACAAACAACTTAGAGAAAATCTGCATTTAAAAAACCCAAAAAACCCATGTCCGACAAAAAGATTAAGTATTGGCAGAAGAGTATATGCAAATGTGGAAATTGAAGCTCATTATAGCAATGACAAGTCTGGCAGAAACAGGGGCTTCCGTTTCACAGACACTCCATGGGCAATAATGGGGGGAGGGTCTGGCGGGGCTTGGTGACCACTGCAGAGAACAGCAGCAGGCCATGAGTACCTGGCATCTCAACAAGAGCGCTGAAGAGCACACAGTCCGTGACAACATGCATACAATCATCCACTTCAGGAATACTGCACCACTGACTGCCACCAGTTGGCAAGCATGATCATATCTGAATCTAAAACCTAAGACTGCCTGCTTACCTTGGGGTCTTTAAGCAAAACAAACAAACAGATCAACAGCCTTGATATTTCATCTGAGATTGGGGGTCACTGAGCTGTAGAACGGGGTCTTAGAACCTTTCTATTTCCCCCTAGCTATTTCCCCGAACAAGTGTGGCTAACTGCTAAAGCTTTGAAGAATGTAAAATGGAATAAGCCCGTGCCATCATGATTATTACTAATTGCTAATACCATTAAGTGGAAGTATCTCATTTCAAATCCACAAGGACCCTTCCCAAGGGGGGAGAGACCCCCTACCCCCATCCCAGGCTTTGTTGAAGGCTGCTTGCCTGTGGTCTAGATACTGTATATAAATTATAAGAAGCAACCCATCTGGGTGGGGGGGAAAATATTATTTTATTTTTTTTGAGAGAGAGAAACTGGAATTGTGAAAAACAGGGTAGAATTTTAGCCTGGGAGGAGAGCATGTGAAAAGAAGAGAAAACAGAAGAAAAATGAATAAAAATCCTGAAATTCTAGCAGCATGGGGCTGGGAAAGCTGTTGCCAGCCTCCACTGCATGAAGCAGTTCTGTGCACTGTACTCTGAATACAGAAATATGGCTGTATTTGGAGAGAGAAAAAAAAAAAGGAAAGAAAGGAAAACTGAAAAAAAAAAAAGGTGCTCCCGGAAGATAAACTATTATGTTATCAGTTGCACTTGGTGACATAAATAAATTATCATATAATTAATTGTGATTCACTGGATAAAGTGCCATAGCAGAACAGCCATTATTCTATACAGCACTTGCCTGCACCACTTTATTAAATGCAGCAACCAAGGAAAAGTCCTAATCTCAAAGCCCCTTTTGATCCTTAAAAATTAAAAATAAAAACATGCGGGGAGGGGGATCCTCACACCCCAATAAGGTTTCCAAAACCATGTTATCAGTTGGCAAAGATTCTTTAAGGGGGGCAACAGAAATATGGAAGTCATCTCTTAAGTGGGCATTGTTGAGTATGAAAAAGACTTCAACTCTTTAAATATTCTAGCCTTGCACCTATGCTAGGGATTTATATCTTTTAATATATACTTTCTTTTTCTAAAAAAAAAAACACAACTCCCTATAAGATGATTATACTATCTAGGCAATAAAAATGGAGAGCACATGCCCCCCGCCCCCGACACACACACATACAATTTTAAAAGCAACAGATGAGCCCTTGTGTTGTGCCATGAATTAGCAGCTGTATCACAGGGCAGCCATTTGATCTGCATCCTCAGTGGAAGCAATGGATGGAGGGCTTAAGTTGGGACCAGTAAGCTACTGGGAGTCTGGTACTCAACGTGGGTCAACACCTCCTCTCTCCTCCCTTTGTCCCCATCAGTACTGGGGTACCTCCTCTCTGGCCACTTCGGCAAAATGAAGCCAGTGCAGAAAATGAAGGTGACCCTGGGTATGCCAGCTCAGGCCTGCTGCTATTCCCTGGGCTAAGCTGCCTCCAAACAGCAGCTCTAAGAGGGGCCAAGCCAGGGAGATCCCAGCAAATGTCCCTTGGTTAAGCTTAGTTCTCTTCACTGGCTGCCAAACCGGGGACAATCTAAATATCCTTAAGACCCCCAGAGGTGAGCAGTCTGCTGCCGAGTTTGTGTGTACATACATCCTCCAGTCCAGGTGGCAGGGGGCTCTGTTCTCCCCCAGTAACCAGAGGACCCCGGCTCTGTAACTACGGAGATCTCACAGGAACATTTCATTTCAGCAATGTGACACCAGGGGTCTCAGCATGTCAGAGATGCTGCCAATGAGGGGCTAGGTGCTTAGAGCCACTTGGGGCTCCTGTCTGCACCCATCTGTCCCCTCTGCCCCCCCTCTCCCACCTCTATTACAGGCTGGCTTCACAGAGCTCTCTCTGCTTGGAGTGTTGAAATAAGCTGTTATGGCAAAAGCAGTTGTCTGCAGGGAGGACTGTGCATCGTCATCCCAGGCTCTGTGGCTTTCATGCAGTTGGGGCACCTGAAATTTAAAGCCAGCTCCCTTCTGTATCTTTCTCTCTCTCTCTCTGTTTTTTTTTGGGGGGGGTGGCGGGGTGGGGGTGGGGGGCAGTTGCTAAGAGAATGATAATGCCATTATCTCCCTTGGCAGGCACACACAAAATTAAAATCACATGAAAACATGAGGCTTGTGGGCAACACACCTCACAGTAACATACAGTACATGTCAATAAGGAACCAGCACACATCTCCAAAGCTGTAACGAACAAATGCCGGCGTCTCAGACACTGTGATCTTACAAGCCCTTGAAAGGTTCTTAAAAGAATTAAATCAAAGAATGCAGACCAAAGGGGTGGGGTGGGGGTAGAGGGGCTCCCCTTTAGAAATATTCATTTAAGCCCAAGATTCAGAAATTGCAAATTTTCTGCTCTGATTACAGTGACAGTAAGAGTTAATGCCCAGATCTGAGAGGAGAGGAGTCTTGGGAGGGGGGAGAGGGAGGAGGGAAGGAAGATGGAGGTGGGGGGAGATAAGGGGGCTAGGGAAGGACGGACAGATTTGAGAGAGGGTCTTGTAGGGGGGTGGAGGGAGGTGGGTCTTGGAGAGGGGAGGGGTACTAGGAGATGGGGAAGGGTGGAGCCAGCAAAGATACTCTTCTGGTTAGAATATGACCATGTTCGCTTTCATCACAAGGCTTTTAAAAAAATTATTATTATTCAAAGCTAAACAACAAGGGCTTACCTTGGGTGTCTCAGCCCCCACCTAAAGCTGCTTGGGGGAAAAAAGCCTCAATCGGCACATTTCACAAGCCTCGGTTACAGTATCATCACATTTTGTCCACACACATAAGATACACTCAGAGCTTTTTTTTTTTTAAATTTAATTTTATTTTAACTGCATGTCAGACAGGTGGATGTCACCTCACTCCCAGCACACCAGCCCCCCCTCTTAACAACAAGCCCCTCCCTGCTGCACTCTTGGTAAAAGTATAAAGGATTAGCTTACCTTGGGCTCTTTCCTACGGGAAAAAAACACCATTTTTTATTTTTTAAGCACAGCCACGCCCACCCCTCTCGTCTCAGCCCAGTGTGGTTTCCACTCCAGACCTGCCTGCTGCGGTTTAAGTGTGTGTTCACACGCGTGTGCTGCCCCGCCACCCTCCATGCCCCGACCAGGTGAGCAGAGTGGTATGCAGCAGACCCAACCCACGGTGCAGCCGCGGACGCCCCAGATACCTGCGCGCCGGGTTTTTCAAAGGCGGGAGGGTTTGGCGAACGAATGAGTAGTGAGCACAACGCTTAACGCAAAGGGAAAAAGAGAGACAGAAAACAGGTTATGAAAGCTGACGGGCAGCGGTCCCCTCGCCCCGGGGCCACAGGCCCAGCATCTTACCAAGTCGTCCGGCCACCGTGCCCGCGGCATTTCCGTGCGGCGCCGCATCAGCGCGCAGGTTCCACCAGGAGTATGCGCCGGCTCCGAAAGTTTTTTGCCCGCTCCCCAATATAAGTACACAGACGGCGGATACTCAGGGTAGGGGGATTGGGGGACACTTGAGCGTATCATGCACAGGCGCACATAGAATGTAACACCAACACACACCAACGACACAAGCTGTCCGAGTCCAAGCAGCCGGGCCAGGCGAGGCGGGGCGCACCTTCCCAACGACCCCAACCACCGCACCCCAGCCACGTCGCCAGGGGAGCCCCGGGCCCCTCCCCAGCGGGTCCTGACTCACCTGAAGCCCCCAGCCCCCTCCCCAGCCCACTGTCCTGCCGGCCCCCACCCCTGGGGCTCCGGGGCAGCTTACGGTGCGGGCGCTGGCATGTCTAGCCAGGAACGACCCTCAGAGTCGTTCTGCGCCACTTTTCTCCCTGGAGGCCACTAGGCCTCCTAGGCCACCCATGTCCCCCCAACCCCTCGCGCGCCCCGGGCAAAGTTAGGGCCCCTGATTGGAACTTTCTGGCAGGCGCTCCTGCCTTTGCCCGGGCCCTCCTCGGCCGCGGGCCCTGCGCGCCACCAGGCCGCCCTGCCACCCTCCCCGGCCGCCGGCGGCCCTGCTCGCGGGCAGAGCCGCCGCATTACCTAGAAGCAGCAGGCGGTGCGTACACATGTACCCCATCTTTTCATCCTGGAGCTGCTTGTCGATGATCTTGCTCCGAGCCTTCTCGGCACGCTTCTGAGCACGTTTCTCCATCGCTTCTTTGCGCTTCTGGCGCCGCTTCTCCGCCAGAGGAATCGTCTGGTCTTGGGAGGCGCTTCTGGGCTCTGCGCTCCGGGTGCGTTTTCGGAAGCAGGCTCCGAAGGCGCCGGTGAGCAACTTCGGGAAAAAGTTGCAGCAGCTCTTCTGAGCGCTCTTCGAGCGCTTGCTCTTCTTCCACTTCCTCCAGATGAAGCAGCCGGACGGGATGTCGGACTCGTCTCCGCTAAGCTCATCGTCGCTGCTGTCGGAGCCAGGGTCGCGGCGGGTGCGGCTGCGGCCGCGCTCAGCCTTGGCCCGCCGGGCAGCCGCACGAGGAGGGACCGGACTAGGGAGATCGGCCGGCTGAATCTCGGGGCTGGGGGGTCGGAGGAGCTGCAGATGGGGACGGTCGGCTGCGCTGGTCCAGGCGGCGACAGGGGTGGCCCGGGGAGGGGCGGCCCGGGCAGCGGCGGCAGCGCCAGGCATGGCCCAGGCTGGGGCAGCGGCGGCGGCAGCGCCAGGGGCTGCTCCCTTAGTGGCAGCGGTGGCCCCGGTGGCAGCAGGGGCTCCTTCATCCCGGGCAGTGGAGACTTTGCCTCCCTCGGCGCCTGCAGCTCCGGAGCTTCCTTCCATCTCAGACGCTGCTCCCTCAACTGGGGGTCTCTCTCCTTCTGCGCTCTCTGCCTCGACTGGGGCTCTGGAGACCTCGATGGGCGGGTCATCAAGCGCGATTGGGGGGCTGTCCATGCTGACGGGAGCGTCGTCGACTCCATGGGGGGCGCTGCCAATCTCGAAGAGGGGTCTGGAGATCTCCATCGGGGGGCTGCTGCCCGCGAAGCCAAGAAACGCTCTGGCAGCAGCTTCTCCAGCTGGATAGATGGGCACTCCGGGGACCCAGAGGGGGGGCGCCTCCGCGCAGGCAGAGAGGAGGAACGCACCCGGGCCCGAGACTGCCGAGGTCTGGTCGCCACCGTAGGGCTCAGGAGAGGCTCCGGGGCGCCCAGGGGGTGGGCTATCATCCCCAGAGGCTGCTCTTCCAAGCTCAAATGGCACAGCCTCCTCAGGGGGAGGGCTGTTGCCTCTGAAGCCAGGGCTGGCAGGCCCGAGGGCTTGGGGCTGCTCGGGGGGTGCACTGGGCACCCCCAAACCTGGGCTTGGCAGAGGGAGCTGCAAGGAAGCTGGGCTGATGACTCCCTGGCCGGACTTCTGCAGCTCAAAGGGCATAGCTTCCTCCGGTGGGGGGCTGTAGCCTCCCAGGTCTCCGCTGGCACCATCGACGGTTCTAGGCTCCACAATTGCCTGGCTCTGGGCTCTGAGGCCTGCACCGACCCCATGGTGGGCTCCGGGCTGCTCCAGGGTAGGCCAGAAGCCTCCTGATGTGGGCTCCTTGGCATCGAAGGGCATAGATTCTTCAGGTGGTGGGCTGGAACCTCCCACGCCTCCAACTTCCTCGATGGCCTGTCCAATGCCCTGGGATGAGGGCCTGGGGACCTGGGCAGGCCCCGAGGCCTCCCTGACAGCCTCGATGGGGACAGGCTCGCTGACAGACGTCGGTTCGGTCGCCAACTCTTCGGCTGAGCTAGCCCCAGGACTGGGGGTAACTGCCCCTGAGGTCTCCAACGGCTGCTGGGGCTGTTGCCCGGGCTCAAGGGGGCTATTGCGTTGTCCTGACATATTATTGCCGTTGAGGCAGTTGCGCAAGCCCATAACACGGTGGCGGCCTCTTCTACTCACTTTGGGGCCCCGTAGGACGGGGCACCCAACCTAACTAGGGTGAAAAAAATTTTTGAAAAAAAATTTTTTTGGTACCCCCCCCCACCTCTAGGGTGCTCCAAACTCACTATCTAGCCTCTAGGAGGCCTGTAGGAGCAAGGCCTTGAACCCTAGACCGTGGCAGAAGCAAAATCAAAAAATTATGCTACTGGAGTCTTGGCTCCTTTTTTGCCACTTTGTATGCCCTCAGGCCGCCCCTGGCTACCCCCCCAGCCCTGCCCCTGTGCCCTCAGTCTGTCTCTGCAGCAGGCCAACCCCGCCTGCCCGGGTCTCAGCAGCGCGTCGATTTGGTCCGAAAATCGCTCGCAGTACCGCTCTCTGCCACCAGGGGATGCTTGTCCTGATGCCCAGCTGGCTCTGGGAGCCGGCGCCTCGAGCTGGCAACCCCCGACTTTGGGTTGGGGGCTGGTGAGCGCAGGCCTCGCAGGGACGCTTTGGCTCCTTCTGCTCCTCTCCCGGTCTGGTTTGGAGTCCTTCTCCTCGCCTCTGCCTCGGCCAGAGAGAGAGAGCTCTCCTGCGTTGCAGGACACGTGACGCAAGACGTGGGCACCAGGGCTGCTGAAGCGCAGGAGCTGAAACCCTCCCCTCCCGGACCCAACTACTCTTCTCCAAAGGGAGGGGGGACTGCAGGAGGCTTTCATCACCCCAGATACCCCTGAACCCCTCTGCCGCAGCCCCCCGCCCTGGCAGCAAACCCCCCCGCGTCCCCCCGCCGCTCCCGATCGCGAGCAGCTCTGAGTCTTGCCTGCTCGCAGGGCTTTGAGCGGCGGAGAAGGTGGGCGCGGATGCGTGGCGATGCGACAGGTGGTCGCGAGCCCACCAGAGGGGCGGAAATGAGACCGTGACCAGGGGCTGCAGTATGCTGCGGCGCCACTTTGTTTTTAAAACGCCAAAGGGCACTTTCCAAGCGGCTTCTGTTTGCTGCTTGCCGAGACTGGTTCCCGTAAAGCCCTTCCATGTTCCCGGTCCCCATCACACTCGGGGGGTCTCTGAGGGGGGTGCACACAGATGTCCCTCCCTCCCTCCCCTGCTGTTTCCATGTTAGTGATGCAGCAAAATAAGAGGGTCTTGGGTGCACACAATGAGAGCCGGTTAATTTCCCCAGGCGTCCGCTTCTTCAGCTCCGCGGCACCAGCTCATGGCGCGCTGAGAGCA